GCGCTACAACTCGCCGCAGACACATCCCACACACAGATGCACACACACACAGATACACACAAGCACACCTATTAGGGGAAAACATATGCATATATGGAGCACAATTGTTGTTGCTGCCGACAGCTAATTGAATTTAATTGGCGCGAAAAATCTACAAAAAGTAAACAAAACTCTCAGCTTAGCTCTATGGGTTAACAATTTTCTGTTGTTTTGGTTTTATTTATAATTTATCTTTTTGTAGCATAATTTTATGAGTTGTTTATTTCGTTCAACAACAACAATAACTTTTTGCCTCGCATTTACTGCACGTTTTCATTGTCGTTTGTTTATGAAAAAAGAGCGAAAGCAACAACAACAAACAGCCAACAAGTCGTCTTTGGAAATAATTGTGGTCAGTCAGAGTTGGCAGCAGCCACGGTGGTGGCCACGATGTTGGCGTTAAAAATCTATAAATGGCCATGGCCAGTCGCACGACGAAGTCAAGACCTACTATTTATTTATTTACTTTTTCTCATACTTTTGGCGCCACTTGGCGGGCGTAGTCGTCGGATGTTCGGCATATATGTATACCCGATGTGTAAATCATTTTGTGTGACAACCCGCTGACAATTGGGGGAAACAGCTCAATCGCGGCACTACATGTGGCTGTCTGAAGGGAACTGCTCCTAATGATGTGCCCGACTGCCTCCCTGGCTGGGCTGGCTGGGTTTAACGATGATATGGACCTGAACCTGGAGCATGCCAAGCATTAGCAGTTAACCTGCTAAACTGCAGACTTATGGGTTCATGTGCACGGCCATAAAACCGCGAGTGAGCTGCGACCGCGTGGCTTATTTAAAATTAACAAAGCAATAAAAATTCAAACTCAAGGCAAACGCAGCAGCAGCCAACAATGTGCACTCGTCCAGGCACTCCACAGCCAGCACAGTCTGCAAATTTACTTACTTGCCCACTGTAGCCCAGAGCTGAGTCCCATTGACTCCCATTGTGAGCTCAGCCTACTGGCATACGGGTATACGTATGTATAATAAGAAACAAAAACCAGCACTTAAATTAAAAATACTCGTAATATAGGGAAACTGAAGTTTTTGCTCGGCTTTGATTTTCTGTGGAAATCGTTATCTTATTAACCTGCAGCTTATCATATCAGCAGAGCACCAAATTGGTCAGAAAAAAGAGCCAGAATCAGAGTTCGCTTTAGTGGTGGGTGCGTGATGATTGCTGCGTGATTGTTCCGATAGCTTGTAAGTAAGTGATTGTAATTGATTTTCAATATACAGTGAAAACTATCCCTCTCTCAAGGGGAGTCCACTTAAGGGGATACTTAAATACTTTATACACCGATCGAATGTTTTTGAAAAAGTGTCCGTATAAAAGAGGTGTCCTTTAAGGGAGTTTGCAGTATATACAGATTAGTTTTATCATTTCGTTACAATTCAACTCAATGGGTGAAAAAATGGTTTGACAGACTTGCTGGAATAATTCGCCGGTCAACTGGCTGAGAGGTTCGGTAACAAAACATTGTGAGTACGGCATTTAAGACCATCACTTGGAAAGCCCCACATACTTATTAAATGTCCTAATAACCACAAAGGACTTTAGTAATAATATAATATTAATTTTCCTTATTTTAAATATATTTCCAATATATTGAATATTACAAATAACTTTGTCAAACACTGAATTTTATTCTCTCATTATGTAAAAGCAATACATTCTAAATTCATAATTCATAAAAATATATTAGAACTTATGGAGCGTTCTATAAAATACTGAGGACTTCTAAATACGAGTAGTCCCATAGATTTCTCATCAGTCTGATTACAAAGTATACTGAAGTTATTATATGTTTATCAGAGCTTCTAAATAATTATATGATTAACCCCAAACAATCATTATGACCATTAATAATAATTATTTCAAACTCTCTTTTGTAAAACTTACAATTTCAGATTCTACTACTTATATCTGAGGATTTGTATTAATTAAAACTTCACTTCTTTAAAATTGTAAAACATTTCTGCGTCGTTATTGCAGCGCTTTTGGAACTATTTTTAAGATGGGAATATACTTTCCCAGGTATTATCCTTTATTGGTTTCAACCAGATCCCATACTTAAAAATAACATATTGATGGACAAATTGGTTGTGTATTTCTGAAGCCATATTCCAAACAAAAGCAGATGTAATCGTCTTTACATATTTATAATATACGTTTAAACGAAGATTTGTTTTCAGACAAAACACTTTTATGGGAGTTACGAGAAATAGTCAAACAATCAACATGATGTATTTCACGATCACGTCACACGATCGTCTCCAAGTCACATTACTAACCACGCTCGAGAGGCAAATAAAGTTACCAAAAACTGGGAGCTAGGTTCAAAATGCAGGCTTATCCGAGCATCGGGACTGCAAACCGAAACAATGCAACGCGCAATCAGCGACACTTCATCGGTTGCAGTTGCTGGTTGCTGGTTGCCAGTTGCCCGGTCGGTGGACACGGACAAAAAAACAAAAGGACACAAATGTGCGCGTAATGAGGGCGAAAATATCTTATTTACAAAAAGCCAACTCAAAGCTAAGCATACGTGTACACAGCCCTCGTTCCAGAGAAGTAGCAACAGGAGGGGCAGCATATTTGTCATTCGCATGCGCAGCCTGCGCGCAGGCCCGAAGATTCGAGGAGGCTGTGTTGCCGGCAATAATCTCAACGCAAATATCATGCACAGATCTTGTTTAGCCATATGTTGCGACTTCAACCACGCGGCCACTGCGCCTTAATTAGATGAGGCGACAAGCTGCCAGCAGCCAAAACGCCAGCAGCCAGCCAGCCAGCCAACCAGCCAGCTTACGAGCTTAAAGCTGTGCGCTTAAGCAGACACGATCTGCGATATTGCGGAATATGGCACACAGCTGAGCCGCGAGAGCTGACGACGAGGACGAGGACGCGGACGTGGACGTCCAGCACTGCCTCCTAACAATGCCGATATGCTCCACGTCTCCACGGCGTGTTTACAACTTGTTTGCAATGCGCGGCATGCTCGCTCCCTGCCCTTTAACGACCAAGGGCCAAGACAGCTATCCCAGCCTGGGAAGCTGCCGTCTCAGTGGCAGTGGCAGTGGCAGTAGTCCTTGCTGCTTACTAATGGCATATTTTGCATTCCAAAAAGGCATTGCGCCAATTGAAAATAATTCTGGAGTGTACTCGGCTTAATAAGATCACGATTTGCAGATAAGCCGCCTAGATAGGCCAGCCTAGAACTAGAAGTCTGCATACGTACAAGTATAGCCAGCAGCAGTCTGGATCAGTACAATATGGCTAGATGATAAGGCCAGAGAGGGTGAGCGAATAGGCAGATTGCTGTGAAAATGCTGCTGATAAGTCCACAAAACTTAGGAAGTCGGATTTCATGTGCTTTAAATACATTTGGTAGAGCAATAAAAGTGTTGGCTGTTGTAACAAAAAAAAGCTTAGCTGATAATTCCCTCTACTCTGTCCCTCACCCTTAAGAAAAGCATTAACTGCCGAGCCATAAAAAGCTTAACTAAATGATGACTTGACTACGAATATGACCTCTCTGATGTCTTTTGCCCTTCTTTCGATTTGAGTTCATTGAAGAATGTTCATAGCTTTCTACAAATCAAAGCCTCTACAGAATGTCAGATTAAAACTTGAATGCCTGTATTTAAGTTAAACTATTTTTTTAAAACTCGACTGCAATAGATCACAACAAACGAGAGGAATAAGTTTGAAAATATATAAATACTATAATTCCTATTCTACTGCACTGGATGACAACAATTGAATAAAATAGTTTTGAAAATATATAAATATTATAATTTATTCCAAACCACTCTTAACCATACATACTATACTCGTATGTTCAATTGGAACTCCCCTTGGATACCTTGAACAACTGCACGAAGTATTTTCTATACATGACCAGATCGAGGTTAGTCATAGGGGTAATCATAGGGCATGTTTTCATAATTTCAAAATTCTTATAACGATAACAGATTTTTAATGAGCACATCGCTTCATGACACTTAAATAATTGTTTGCAAATAATAATAAGTACTCTTGAATTACAAGATCATCACAATGTGGATGGTCTGTCAGGCATCACATACTTGTATATTGAATTACCAGAACAGTCCACAAGCATACGTCTTTCGAAAGCCTAATCAGCTGGCTGGAGTAACGAAAAAACCTGGGGTTAGACCCCTCGTAGAACCTTTGTATTTTATTTTCCTGCACGTCTGCTAAACATATTTTTTGGATTTTCAAAGAGTGGACAATATTTGAAATCATTTATGGTAGCATATCGATAATAGACATTTGACTGCAAAGAGAGCAGTCTTGGTTGTGCTGCCTGAAGAATAAATTCTTCGTATTTTATGTTCTTGATCTCCTTTATAGTGCATTCAATGGTCGTTAGTTTCGCTGTAGTAGCACAAACAATAACTTAATTTAGTTGTCTTACATCGTGTCGTTGTCGTCGCCGCCAACCGGGCAGCCCAACTGCCGGCCAGCAATCCGCGATGATCTGCAGCAATGCCAGGGAACTATGAACTGTGCTCTGCACGGTGGTATGTCAGCAATTTTGTAAACAGACGACACATGCGCCAGAGGAGGCCCAGGGTGCTACGCATATGGCTCGCAAGTACAAAGCGCCAATTACACAAAACGAAAACGAGCGAAGCAGTTGCGCATGCGCATGCGCCGAGATCTAAAATATCTGCAAAGCGAACCGCACCGAACCCAGCCGAGCCGAGGGAGAAAAACTCCAAAATGCCATTTGACAAAAATGGGCCCTGGTTGATAAAGCCGGCGTTGTCGATGCCGTCGCATGGCGAGCTCGAGCTCGAACTCGAACTCGAGCCGTGGGCGCCAACAATTCAATACAAAGGCAATTAAAGCTAAACGAATGCTGGCCGAACTGCAACGGCAGGGCGCCTCGGCGGCATTCAATACTATACCCAAGTGAATAAAATTAATTTGCGGCGCATTTTAGTTTACAACTTTGTAATTAATTTGCAAAAGGGTCTATGCTCTACTCATGCCATCCACAAGAGCTCTGTGACATTTGGCTCATCTGACATTTGCGTGAATGGATGTCTTCATTAAAGCAATCGATATTTGATGGCGCGCAGCATGGGGAAGCGATCGCCAGTGCACTGGCCACGGAAATCATCCAGCGTCAGATCGAACAGCGCCACGCCACCTAGATTCTTGGCCCGCACATATTGCGCCTTACTGGCCGCAGTATCGGGATCCTCATAGCTGATCCACAGGCCGTAATCGCCGTTCTCATCGGCGGCACGGAAGGCATAGTTGCCATAGCGTTTGGTGGGATCGCCGACGCGACGCACAGGTGCGGCATTTCCTTTGGCGTTCGCATTGCCTGGATTGGGCAGCAACTGACAGATCTCGGCCCAGTTGAGCAGACCAGGTGTCTTCGTCTGCACGCCCGCGGGTGCAGGTCCATCGGTAGCCGACACCACAGGTGTTCCTTCAACGCCAGAGTCCTTGGTCAGCTTCCAGGCGCGACCATAGCTAGCAATCCCGATGTTCAGCTTATTTAGCGGCACACGTTGCAAGAGCCAATGCTCCATTTGGTAGTTGACGTTGTAGTGACCCAGACGGTTTTGGGTGAGCACCTCATACAAGGGAGCTGTGTAGTCGGCCTCTTCGGGATTGCGAGTGGGCGTAAGGAAGTCAAAAGTGCCAAGGTTCACAATATCCAGAAAATTGATGATGCTTGGTGCATCATAGTACCCTACAAATATTTCGGTTAGTCTCCATATACAGTCGTTCAGTAGTTTGCGACTGATTTAATAGCTTTGAGTTACTATATTGATGTAAACCCATTAAATATCTTCAGCTCTGGCAATGAATCCCTTTTTGGGGCTCTGATAATCGAATATCATCGTTGAAATACTCACAGCTAGAATTAACATTGGGCAGAACGGTCAGACTGAGCAATAGATCGTATTGTTTAATAGCATGGCTCAAGTCCCGGACCAAGTCTGTGAACTGCTCCCGGTGCGTATCGGCCTCCTCATCCACAATAAAGTCGCCAGTGAAAAATTTCTTGAAGCTCTTCCACGCCATACCCGCATCGGAGTGTACTTTGCGAGGCTTATTGCGCGGCAGCTGGAAGGCGAGATCCAAGCCATCAAAGTCAAAACGACGCACAGTTTCGAGGGCCGATTCAATGAAGCGGTTCTGATTCTGACGACCGGCCTCCAACAGCTTTATATACTTTTCCTCATTCTCCAAATCACGATCGCCACCCACACTCAGAAGTACCTTGATATATGGAAATTTCTGCTTCAGGGCTGTGACGCTTGCGAAGTGGCGCTTCTGTAAGTCCAGTGGCTGATTTAGGACTTGCAGCTCAAGTGTTTTGGCATCAAGGCCCGCATAGCCGTAGATCACGTGCGTGCAGAATTGCATCGCCAATTCCATGTCGGCGAGTGTGAACTGAGCGAGACCTGGGAGAGTGGACAGCACAAGAGAGTGAGCAATTGGAAGCTCGGTGAGTGGCAAATGGAGAGCTTACCTTCCCGCTCAAAGCCCCGCGAATCGTAGAAGCAAACCAAATTGGAAGCGGTCGCTTCAAACGGTTGCGAGAGTAGCATGGCCAGAGCCAAGCTCAGATATATAGTTGTAAAGCGCATTGTAGGCGACAGAGAGAGTGCGAATTTTGGAGATCAAGAACGCGAATGTGTTTAGGTGCGAACGCCACGACACACGAAATCAAACTGATTTCAATTGGGAATGAAAACAGGGCCACAGCTTTGCTTTTCGATGTCGCCGAACAATGGGCGACAGATCGTGTAGCATTATCAACACAATTCCACAGAAATGTTTGTGTACCTACCGTCGCACTATATAAGCAAATGTGTTTACGAGTACTGCCGGACAGCTGGCACCGAGTTCAATGAGATCACTTGCTCGGGTAATATACAAAAACTTTATCTAACTAAACACCCGAGAGATAGTGACGACTCATTGTTCCACCACCACAATCCCACATACACAAAACAAATCTTGGGGGAACCATTTATTCAAAGACTCATCTTGAACTCACCTTAAACTAAATTTACAAGCGGTACTTGATAGCACGCAATATAGGATACTTATCTCCAGTGCACTGGCCACGGAAGTCGTCATAGCTCAGATCGAACAGAGCCACGCCTCCCAAATTATTGGCGCGCACATAGGCCGCCTTGTTGGAGGCTGAGTCCGGATCCTCATAGCTCACCCAAATACCCTCTGTAATTTGAGCGCCATCTATGGAGCGATAAGCGTAGACTCCATAACGCTTGCTTGGATCACCGACTCGACGCAGTGGAGCATCGTTGCCCTTCTGATACTGGTTCTGGGGGTTAGACAGCTTGGAGCAAATCTCTGGCCAGCTAAGTAGACCAGGCTTTTGTGATTGCAGACCTTCGGGGGCGGGACCCTCCGTGTTCGGCACCACAGGGGTGCCTTCCAGACCCGAATCGGCCGATAACTTCCATGCATTGCCATAGGCTGCCACACCCAAGTTGATTCTGGTGGACGGATAGCCTTGATCCAGCCAATACTTGACTTGGAAGTCGGCATTATAGTGGGGCAGACGATTCTGTACATCTGAACCGTATAGCGGGGCCGTGTAGTCGGCTTCCTCTGGATTACGTTGGGGTGTGAGGAAATCAAAGGCAGCCAAATTAACAAAGTCCACCAAACCATTGAGCGAGGGGATGTCGAAATACCCTGAAAATGTTGTTTGTATATAATTTCCATGGTCCATTTGGAGTTAAAAGAACATTTCCACTTACAAGTCGAGTTAACATTCGGCAGCACAGTTAGGCTGAGCAGCAAACCATCGCTGCGCAGTGAGTTTTTCACATCACGGACAAAGGAGGTGAACTGTTCCTTGTGCAGGGCAGCATCCTTATCGACAACAAAGTCGCCGGTGAAGACTTTCTTAAATTTCTTCCACACCATGCCAACCTCGGAGTGGACCTTGCGGGGCTTGTTGCGCGGGAACTGATAGGCCAGATCCAGGCCATCAAAGCCATAGTTCTTCACCAGCGATTGAGCAGACTGTATGAAGGCCGCCTGACGCACCTTCTCGCCTTCAAGCAGCTCGATATACTTATTGGGGTGCTCCACATCGAGATCACGATCCCCGCCCACGCTCAACAGCACCTTGAGATGGGTGTACTTGCGCTTGAGTGCCGTAACCTCCGAGAACCTATGCTTATATATGTCCAAGTTCTCGTTAAGACTGTAGGCCTGATAATTGTCACCGCGTATGCCCGCAAAGCCGTAGATGAGGTGTGAGCAGAATTGCAAAGCAATTTCCAAATCGGGATTCAATAGCTTGCCAAGACCTGCAGCAGTAAATGTTGATAAATGTTGATTCAATAAAAATGCTTACTCCCCTATATATATGCTTATGTGACAAATAACAAGTGACAATGACAGAGACGATGTCATAATGCCTCGACGCTGCGGGTGAGCGCAACGCAGGCCGAGTGCCTGACACTATCTGTGAGCGCAGATCGCACTCTGAACAGAAGCCGACCGCGAGACTCAACGCCTCAGCCCCTGGCTCCCCGTCCTCCGCCCCAACCTGACAAGCCGATCACATAGCGGGTGCGGTTTTGTCGTCATTGTCTCGCAGAGCACTGTGGCTTAATTGAATGCGCCGCAGAGGCTGTGGCTGTGGCAGAGGCAGGTGTAGAGGCAGGGGTAGAGGCGGCCAAGGCAGTGCCACCGACGACACCGGGCAGTATTGTCCATTGTACCGGTTACGTTCATGCTGTGGTTTTATATTTTAGTTAGGCGGCGCTGCACAGTGGGCTGGCTGTGATGCAAAATGGATGTAATTAAGTATGAAAAGAGAGTTCGAGATATACACCTAATTCTGTTTTTACACAGTTTGAAAATTAAAGATTTTATTCCATTTAGCACGATTCAAAATATGATACATTTCTTTTTTAACACTATTTTTTGTACACGACAACAGAATTAGGTGTATTTCAACTATTGTTGGTCAACATCTATCGATAAAGAAACCTTCATTGACAGTCTCTGATATTTTTAAATAAGTTACGTAAGTTATAGTTGTTAAAATTTGTCAGCAAAATAAACTTTTTCCCACTGAAAATGTCTGCTTGGGAGCCAAATAAATAAATGTCCTCTGTGCGAAGTTTTACTGTCTGCCATTATTTTAAAGAAATTTGCAGCTTTAATGAAGCTTCAAATAAAGAGAGAATGGTTTAATAGCTTTGAAATAGCAGATATGTTTGAATAGGTTAAAACCAGACTACCAAAGACAATAGATGCCATTCAGTATAGCATTTAAGAAGAAAGGGCTGCGCTCCTAAAATGTGACAAGAAGATAATGCTTCAACGCAAAATATGTTGGAACAGTCTAACTCCTATGTATTCTTCAAGCAATGCTCCTTCGTTCTATTATATTTTTTAGGCCAGACTCAACTGAGCTGCCGGTCTTACGAAGAAACCAAATATCTTGTAGACTCGCCGATGACACAAAATTCTTTTAATTTTGAAGTTGAAATCAACAATTCTTCTTCAGCATAAACTTAACATCATCTTTAGTTATTTTAATGCTACGAGTTAACGAAGAGCAATACTTTGATTTATAAATCATATAAACCCAACGACCCTATTACTTTTTACTTTATTTATTAATGGTCTTCCCTCTATTTTCTCACACTCTCATATACTGATGAAGTGCAAAGATCCCAATCATTTTAATCGAATTTAGAATGAGTTGAACAGCATGCACTTACTTTGAGGAGTTCATGACTTATTATCGAATAATGATGCATTTAGTTAGCCTTTTATACGATTGACAAGATGCCATTAAAGATCTTGGGAGTACTTTTTGATCTAAACTCAACTTTAATCTCCACATCTCTAAGACTGTAACTTGCTTTTTGTATGTTTCTTCTACCCTTTGTTAACAGCCCTTACTTTGTTGATTTATAAGAACTAATAATAATATTATGTTAACGGAATATCATATACTTTTTATGGACCAGGAGGCTGCTCAGGACCCATCCTCTGGACCTCCCCTGGGACTAGCCGGATACCACAAACTCATTATAAATAAAATAAATTATTGTCAAGTTTATTTAACCAATTTAATGATTGTCCACGATGGACAGTTTTATATAAAAACACTCTGCTATACTTAGCTAATATTATTTTCAAGATATAAATATAAGACCATTTAATCACAGTCTCTTCTGAAATCTTCGCAGCCATTGTTAATGCCTCTGGCGTTCTATCTCTTGGCCTAATTGGTCTCCTGCACAGCCACTGTGCACTTGCCTGTTGACCTGGTTTTCAGCGCTCATGCCCCACTGTGCCAGGCCTCGTTGAGTCATTTGGAGCTCTTGTGACACTTGTTTTGTTGTATGGCGAGTCGTTGGGGCAGTTGTCGCATCGGACTCGCTGCGAGTTGTACGCTGTGCGTTGTGTGGGCTGTTTCCATAATATTTTGGCTGCCGTTTCATTATACTTAGTTATAGTTATTGTTATTGCTCTTCTTCTTATTGTTGTCGGTAAGTCAGCCTACTAATTAGCTTGTTGTTTACTACAAATCCGAACACGACACGCATTAATAATAATGCCTTATGCTCTTTCTATATATTTGAGTAACAATATCAATAAGCAGCGCTCTACGTCAAGCCTCGGCTCTATATAGTATATGGTAGAGTGTGTGTATAACTTGTCTGTGCTCTGCCTGATAAGCCACTGACCTCCATGGCACACTCGTAGTGCGACGAACTAGATTTTTCGCTCGGTGTCTACGCGATGAACATTATAAATTTGTTGTCCGAATTGAATTAATTCCGAGAAATGTTTGTTTTGCATGTAAATCGATTATGTAAGCTGGCTGTTCTACGAAACCAAAACTATGACTGTGTTTATTTATTATGGGCTTGAAACAAGTTTTATTTGCATTTGGCACACATGCTAACTAAAAGCTATCAAGCTTAGTTAGCAGCGCGCTAAATCGAAAACGCTTCGAGAAACTGTGAACAAAACAACTGATAAGCGCACAAACAAAAAAGCAATTGAATGAAATTCTAATATACAGTGTTTCCTGTACTTAATATTACTAGTTGTACTATATTTGTATGTAATTGTATTTAGAATATGAATGAAGTAGCTAGAACTTAAGACGTAGGCTCTTTTTAGTTGAAGTGTCTTTTGTGGCGAAGAAGAAACTAATAACCGAAGAAGTTGAAACGCAATGCTCTTTCTTTTGCTCTAGTATTGAGTATTATAAATAGTCCCGATTTTTATACCCTCACACTCTTTCTTTCCGAAATAATGTCTTTGTAGACCCTTAGACTATAATTTGTATGTACTTCTATTTCGATCGTGAATGAAGTAACTAGAATGTAAAGAATTTATGAATTCATTTAGAATTTTTGTGACCAAAGGCGAAGAAACTAATAACCGTAGATGTTGAAGCTCAATGCTCTTTCTTTTGCTCTAGTATGGAGTATTAAAAATAGTCCCGAGTTACATTTAATATCACGTGGAAATAAATATAGCCTCACACTCTTTCTTTCCGAAATAATGTCTTTGTAGACCCTTAGACTATAATTTGTATGTACTTCTATTTCGATCGTGAATGAAGTAACTAGAATGTAAAGAATTTATGAATTCATTTAGAATTTATTTGACCAAAGGCGAAGAAACTAATAACCGTAGATGTTGAAGCTCAATGCTCTTTCTTTTGCTCTAGTATGGAGTATTAAAAATAGTCCCGAGTTACATTTAATATCACGTGGAAATAATTATAGCCTCACACTCTTTCTCTCTGAAATAATGTCTTTGTAGACCCTTAGACTATAATTTTCTTAGAACACCGCTCTATTGGATTCTGAAATAATCTGTGTCTATAACTTCCTGTTATGCCTTTTCTCTGCTTCGTCCGTTTTACTCACCCTCTCGTATATAGCTGGAGGAATCATAGAAGCACACCAAGTTGGAGGCGGCCTTTGTCTGGGCCACAAGTAGACAAGCGACCAGCGAAAGCGAAAGCAACAGCTTCATCTTACTCAGGGTTTAGCCGAGAGTACTAGAGCAATGACAATGGACAGATCGGAGAATCGGAGACACACAACCGCAGCTCAGATCAAATGAAATCGAACTGAAGCTGAAATTGAAAACTACAAAACGAAACGGAGAGTGACAAAAAGCTTCGTCTGGTCTGGTACTACCAAAGCTTTGTTGCTCTGCCTGGCGGGGATGTACGACGCTTATCGGGGACTGCGTAGAATCCAGAGAGCAACACAAGTTTTGTTTTGTTCGCTTTTTGTTCGCTTTTTGTCGCAATGACTTAATTGTATAAACAAAATAAATGACGAGTGCAAATGACACAACGAGACGAGTTCAAGTGCACGAGGTCGCCTACATTGAAACCACAAGCGATTAACATTCTAAAACAATTCTACAATTACGTGTAATAACAAACAGAGTTACTACAACTAGAACTAAGCTAAAAAGTATTTTATGGAGCGCACAATGGGGAACTTCTGGCCCGTGCAGAGCCCACGGAAATCATCGTAGCCCAAGTCGAAGAGCGCGACGCCACCCAGACCCTTGGACTTGGCATAGGCTGCCTTTATGCCGGCAAAGTCGGGATCATCGAAGCTCACCCACAGCCCGTGCTGACCCACCTCGTCGGCGGGTCTCAGCGCATAGTTGCCATACTTCTGGGTCAGGTCTGTGACCTTACGCAGCGGTGCGTTGGGTCCGCGATAGACAGCTGTGGCATTCCGGGTCAGTTTCGAGCAGATCTCCGGCCAGCTGAGCAGCCCGTCCGTGCGTGTTTGAAGACCAGGCTCGCCAGGTCCATAGGTAGCGGGCACGACAGGCAAGCCGCTCAAGCCCGAGTTCGAGGTCAGCATCCAGGAGCGGCCGTAGCTGGCTATGCCCAAATACAGCTTGTGGGGCGGACATTGGTTCTGTAGCCAATAGTTGAGTTGAAACTCGACGTTGTAGTGCGGCAAACGGTTCTGCTCGTCCAGGAAGAAAATGGGAGCCGTAAAGTCCGCTTCCTCGGGATTGCGGATGGGCGTGAGGAAGTCGAAGGCGGCCACGTTAATGAACTCGAAATGTTGGTGCAGCTTAGGCACATCGAAGTACCCTAAAAGAAGCAAGTTCATGAAATGACAATTTCATTCGTTTCCTCAAATAATTAGTTGAAAGGTCTTACACGTTGAATTGACGTTCGGCAGGACAGTCATGGTCATAATCAGGTTGGCACTCCAATAGGCACGTTTTATGTTCTGCACCAAGCTCGCGTACTGCTCCTTGTGCTGTTCGGCCTGCGGATCGACTATGAAATCGCCTGTGAACAGCTTCTTGAACTTCTTCCAATAGCTGCCAATGGTGCCGTGCACCTTGCGGGGCTTATTGCGTGGCAGCTGGAAGGCCAGATCGAGGCCATCGAAGCCATTGCGACGCAGCAGAACCATGCTGCTGTCTATAAAGTTCTGCTGTATCGTGGTATTGGCCTCCAGCAGTTCCAGATACTTAAGCGGATGCGCCTCATCCACATCCCGATCGCCTCCAACGCTGAGCAGTATCTTCAGATGCGGATACTTGGTGCGCAGCATGGTTATGTTGTTGTAATGGAACATATCCAGATCCACGTTCAGGCTAAAAACTTCCATGGTGCTCGCCTTCAGACCCGCATACCCATATACCAGATGTGTGCAGAATCGTAGCGCCAATTCCAGATCTTCTGTCCGCAATTTGGCCAGACCGGTCCGCAAAAACGAAGCCGAGTCATAGTAGCAGACGAGATTGGAGGTCGCAGCCTCCGTTAGCCGAGTCGTCAGGCTTAGTGCCAAGAGCACCCCAAGCACAGATAGCTTCATTAGAGAGGTAGTGGAGGAGAGGACAACTGGACTTATTGAATGAAAATTTGCAACTGATTGGCCAGCTTTGGAACTGTTGAGCTTTTCAGCTCATCGCTTATCTCACAGCGCCTGACAGCCGACAATGTTGATGTCAATGCTGATTCTGATTCAGATTCTGATGATGCCATTATCAGGTTTCGAGTATTACAGTAGAGGCTCACAAGAGTGGGTTCGCGGAAATCGAAAGCTTCCAGAATAAATCAGCAGCTTTTTACTACAGTTTTAGCTCAATTGCTTTTGATTTACGATTGTCACTCCAAAAAATAATTAGCCGTGCTCGCTTCGGAGCCATTGGGCTCTATTTTTGCAATTTTTTTTTATATTTGTTGATTTTAGAGAGAATGTAAAGTGATTTATGTTGTTTTGCAATAAATAATAATTCAATTAACAAAAGTTATGGCACAAAGCTCACACATCAGTGCAAAAGATTTTTAACATTTAGCCAAAAAATCTTCTTAATATAAAATTCAATTTATTTTAAACAATTAACTAAATATTCACAGTGTTGAGGAGAAAATTGTAGGCTTATCTGTAACTTTTTTGTCCTCTAGAAAGCCTTTTTAAATAGCCTGTTATGGTGATAAAAATTGACTTTGACCACAAATGCCATAGAAAAAGGTGATTTCCCAAAAATATTAATAACTAATAAATCACGGTCAACTTTAAACTGAATATAGTTTAGTTTAAATTTGTTTTCGTTGCAAATACAGCTGAATTTTCTTTGAAGTTATTAGTAGAAAAAGTAAAATTCAAAAATAAAAAAATATATAAACTCGTGTTGGCTGGATATGAGTAGAGTCTACATACCAAGTTTGGTAAATGTGGGCTCAACCGTCTTCGAAATTCAGGCGTTCAACCAGGCAGATGGACAGGCAGACAGACATGGATACATCGATGTGCCTCGTAACCCTTTTACCTTTCGGGTACAGGGTATTAAAAAGGCAACAAATATTTTACATAACACGACAGTTTCTTGCATGAATCAAAAGTTTCTTGGCCTAATCGACGGTTGTACTCTCTTTTTAAAATCTATTTAATAAATCCACAATTGACCGCCTTTTCAATGAACACTCTAAGTTGTAATATTTTCGTAGTTTTGTTTGCTTGAAGAATTCTAATTGGATTTTGGGCAGCATTTTAACGACGCAGCTCATTTGGATTATCTCGTTTAGAATAATAATTATAATGAAATCATACAGGTTTCGGAGCTTCCACTGTATGTACGTACGAGAACTCGTAGTCGTCATATTAATAGCTGAAACGTAATGTTTGTTTGTCGGGCCATTTGTTTGGTAATGAGACAGAATTCACTCGAATTTGTTTACGTGATACTGGAGTGTGAATCACTTCCTACTACTATTTGTGCCATTCATGGCCTAATCGCTCAGCATGTGCGCCACAGATTTTCAATTAGAAAACAGTCCAAGCCCTGCTCCATCTACTCATGGCAACCTGCTGTGCTTTTGAAATGCAGAAGCCCGGCTTGAAGACCGAAGGCAGCTGCAACTCAGCGACGGCTTATTTGAGAGGAAATAAGCCAAGGAGGCACTTAAATCAAAAATCAATTGAAGCATTAAATACGCAACAAATCCGCTGCAAAAAGATGGCCCACAACTAATGACAACAACAGACTTAACTAACAATGCCGGCCAACACTGCTACTGCCAGTATTTGTGTGCAATTATACAAAGGACATATTATCAGCTGTAGAGAATACACAGTTGTATTATGTCTGCCATATAATCCTCACACTCACACGCTCCTTAGTCACGTCAGGGGCAGGGCAAGGGGCGAACACACACACACAAACAATGCGAAGGCATCCTTATGAGCTCTCAAGTGGCTTCTCGCACTGTCGGGCACATAATCGCAAATGTCCTTTGATTTGCTTTGTGCGATTGTACATACGAGTGCGTAAGTATGTGTGTGTGTGTGTGTGTGTGTGTGTGTGTGTGTGTGTGTGTGTGTGTGTGTGTTCCTGTACATATACGAGTATGTGTCTCATTGTTGTTTGATTTATATCTAACCAGCAGCGTGCAAGTTAAATACGCGCTTACAGCGACCTTTTGTACTCTTTTGTGGGTCAACCAGCGACTCACTCCTATATGATATATCATCGTACAACAACAGTTAGTTCAATTGCTAGTCGGCACTATATTTCTATTTAGTTAATGCATATACGTTGAGCGACTATATCCAATTACTAAGCGAACTCTACGCCTCCTCTCTATTTGCTGAACAAATATGTGGATAATATTTGAAGCTAATACCCATACGAACTGGCATTAACAAATATCATCCGTCAAGCTACTGCTTGTCAATAGAAATCAATGCCAATCAATGCTATGGGCTTGAATTTCAAATACAAGTAGCCATGAATGCGAGTTGTTGACTTCAATATGATATTATTGCTAAAACTGTTTACTGATCTATCAACACATCTACATACATACGTATATATGATGAAGAAATGCATACATTTTTCAAATAATAACTAAAATAAAAACTACAAAATTATCTAGAACTTGCTAAAGAATCTCCTAATCTCCTCAGACCATTCTCTGCTTCAATATATTTTAAAATATTTCACTCAAAGCAATCACATCACGTGTGCAAGTTTTCTGCTTTTCAGGCAGGTTATAGAAAGGAGCTCATTTAACGAGCTATAACTGCTGATTCTACAGTTTCTAGATTTAGTTCACGCTGCAGTAAAAGTCGCAATCCATTCCCCAAAACTGACGGCAACAAACGACACTTAAATCATTTATAGTTTCTTTTTATTTTCGCATTTTCTCAATAACTTCACTATTTTGAAGCACATATTTAAAATTTGATTTGATGCTCGTAATAACAACTGGTGCTTACAGTATTATTGGCCTGCTTAGTATCCATCTGTTTAGAACTCTTCATTTGGCTTCTAAGCGCGTATTTACAATTTCTGGCAGCAACTGCCTTCGCCGGCGCATTGCCGTGCCATTGTCTGTCTCCCCATTGCGCCAACTTTTCCATAATTAAGTCCAATAATAATTTAAACAAATACCTTTACCAATTTAGCAGCATTCCCACCCTTACCCCTACCCCTATAATTATCTCTGCCACAGCCGGCCGCAGGTGCGCAGGCCGCAAAGCATTTTCTTTATTTCTAATTAGATGGCAGGCGAGTTGCTTCCGCGCCTCACAGTGCTCTTTGTTTTACAACGCAAGACTCAAATTCAATTTTCACAAAACAATTGTGACGCACGGGCCATTAAGCCCGCAACACCAACCCCCACCCCACCCCAACCCCCACCATTCAACCTCCGACGTGGCAGCCCTTGCTCGGACCGAGAACAAAAGTTGCGAATTGAGAGAGAAAAAACAGAAAAATTATATAAAAAGTGCTGCCCAATTGATGTGCATAATCAGTTTAGCTACAGTTTTCCCAATTTTTCGAGGGTTGTTTCGGCAAATTCATCATTCATTGTCAAATGTGGCTTGACATTCTTCTTTATTTTTTAATGCCTAGCCATGGACACAAAAACAAAAATTGTATATAATTCCAAATTTTTTTAGGTAACTTTTGGCTTTTTTTTTGTTTGTTTGTACGCGTATTTTTCCTTTGTGGGGGTTGCTTGGACTACTCGCCTCGACGCATAATTAGAAATTCATAAGCGGAGCGACAGACGAATGTATATCAGGCAGTATTGACAGCCCCCCTCCGCCAGCACCATGAAACCGAATAAACATTGACAGGGGACTGCAATACACTTGAATAAATAATAACAATATTTCAATATTTTAGAAACATTAATTTAATTGTTGGATTATGGGCTTTAAAGAGATTTTGCAAATGTATAGAACTAGCAATACTGGTTAATTTAGATTTAATATATTTAATATAATTTAATATAATTAATATATAGTTAGCAAGATTAAACATAACTCTTTTATAAAGCAGGGAAGCGCAGCATCTTTCAAGTTGAAGTGCTTCTGGAATTAAGATATGAAGATCAAGCTTGCTGGGGACCTACAGGAACTAGACGTCCCTTTTCTGACTGACATTCAAGGCGCTACTGGAATCGCACAATACAACCAATAGCTGATACAACAATAGGTTTAGATCACTTGTAGATAGATTCCAAGACATCTCTTATTAACTATTACAAGATTTGAATCAAGGCATCATCGTAGAAAAAAAGTCTATAAATTATCTAACGTTTTCAAAAGAACGAATTGAGAGAGGAAGGGATCAGGGTCTTTAATCAAAGAAACTAAAGAGTCCAATATTTTAACAGGATTTCTACGATGATTGGTCAAGGAAATAAATTACCATTAACTCTAAAAAGTCATTGTTATAATTGTATAATAGTTTTTGGCACCAAAAATAGATAATGTGGTAAGCAGAAACCATCGCACGCAAACCTCTAAACATGTTAAATACACCTTGAAAGAGAGCTCCTAACTAGCGCAACTCCTGAACATCAAAAATATTGTCTTGCTAGCTAGAACCATCTGAATTAGCAAAAGCAAGCGGCCATTAATAACAAATAAATTAGAATATTAAACATGAACGGCAGGAAAAAAAACTTACTATATCTTTACATTTTTTTACTCTTCAAAAAGTTGGAAATACATATAGTACATTAATTGTAATATTCAAGTAAATTTCTGGACTTGATATTTTTTAAACTGTTGTATTGCAGATGAACCCAATCGTCATCTCACTTTATGTTTTATGGTTACAAATCAAACAACCAGGTGTTAGCGGAATCCAAATAACTTGATATCAACTCACTATACAAAATAATTATGAAGAGCCAGTCCATGTTGAGAACATCGTATTAAGAAAACATATTTATAATTTTAATGATTCAATCCTTTACTATACTATAATATCTGATGTTTTCCGCAAAACTTACTCGACAATAGAAATAGAATAAGTAGATAGCAAAAGATTATTTAATCCTTCACTATAATTTCCAATATTTTTCCGCAAAACTTACTCGACAATAGAAATAGAATAGATAGCAAAAGATTATTTAATCCTTCACTATAATTTCACTATAATTTCTAATATTTTTCCGCAAAACTTACTCGACAATTGAAATAGAATAGATAGCAAAGGATTATTTAATCCTTCACTATAGTTTCTAATATTTTTCCGCAAAACTTACTCGACAATAGAAATAGAATAGATAGCAACAGCTTAGTTGCAGATTAATTTTCTCTCAGTGTATAAACCGCCCATGTTATATCAAATTATCAGCTAAGCCAAGGGCCAGTGCTTGTACAATTTTTTTTTTTGTTGAGGGTTGGGGGCATGGGGGTGTTAATGCGTTGCATGAGCAGGTACGGGTATCAAAGAGCCGTCGCTTTGCGCTTGAGAAATGAAATTAAAAATTGTTGTTGATTTAAGTGAAAAAAGAGAAGCGGAAGCAGAGTGAAAAGAAAAACAGATACATTTTCGCGCTCTTTTTTTTTTTTTTTTTTTTGTGCAACAAATTCTTTAATGAGACACAGTGTGGGGTTGTTGCTTGCATTCATTAAGCTGCAAACATTTTTGTTGTCTTCATTAGAGAGTGTCCTGCCAGGCTGGCATCAAAGGAATTTCTGCTCTGATCTTGAGACGAGCTTATCATTTAGAAGAGGGCACCGGAAATTGCTCGGATGTCTTGGCTTGGCTTGGCGCCAAATGTCTCTCCGTCAGTTTCAGTTCCAGTTCCAGGTCCACTTGACGGACTTCGGCTTGACCTTCGAGCTGTTGCTCATATTCATTATAAGCCCAAATAACTGTTGTTTACAGCACAAGCAGGGCAAGTGTCAAAATACCAGGCAAAGGGCCGACCGCCGACTGCCGCCTGTCGCTTGTCGCTTGACGCTTGATGGCTGATGGCTGCTGGTCCCCCCGTCTGGTATTGGTATTGGTATTGGCATTGGCGCCTCCTGGTTTTCTGCTCAATTTGCTGTTGTCTGCCTGTGGCTCGGGTTACGTGCTCGTCAGTTCTTGGTTTTGATTTGCCTCACATGCCATGCCCTCACATGGCTGGCACTCAAGTGTCAAGTGTCGTCGATGTTGGCTGGCAGGCTGACTGGCTGGCTAGTTGACTGGCTGGCTAGTTGGCCCTGGCCAAAAAGAAACCTTAGTGGCGGTGACAGTTGGCCATTGCAGTTCTTCTTGTTGTGGTTGTTGTTGTTGTAAATCAATATCTGCACCATTGTGGTCAATCAAACTGCATATTTTTTCCTCATATAATGCATATTAATATTGCTCGATATACATAGTTTGCTTCTATTTTTTCCCCTTGCTTATAGACAGCCATTGTTCTTATTTTTTTTAATAACAAAAGCTGCTTTTGGTATGCGGCATTTTAAATTATTAATTAATTTTTTTTATGGTCGCATTAAAAGCAAACAAACATGGTTAATATAAAAGAAATGGCCGGCGATATGCGGCAACTTTTTTTAAAACCCTAGCAATAAATATAAAAATTATACGACAAAATAATGTAATAAATAATAATTAATGACACATTTCGAAGAAAAAATGCGAATTTTCAATGCGAATTCAACTGCGGACTATTCGTGCTCGGGCACATAAATTTAAAAATCGACAGCTCAGACAAACACACAACACACATACAATATTTTAACAACAATTGCTGGCATTGTGCATAATTGCATTAAAAAAGGCGTTCAGATGCAACAAATTATTATGTATTGGTATGAAAAACAAAAAAACAAGAAAACAAACGCAAATGGAAAGCGCATGCGTTTTTAATTTCACATTTAACGCGCACATAAAATGTAATTAAAACAGAATCTGATTAAATATAAACAAATTAAGTGGTTTGTAAATAAATTAAAAAACTCAATGCACGCGCCAATTGCTGAGGTTAGTTTTTTTTTTCTTTTCGTTTGTGTTGGTCATCTGCCATTTTTTATTGCTTCAAAAAAACATTAAATAAATATTTTATTTAATTATCGGCTGGCAAATTTAGTTGTTTTATGTTTTTTCCGCTGTTTTCGTAAACGCAAATTACATTAATAATAATAGAAATAATTTTTAATGCATATCATATTAAATGGCTACATGACTCATACGACCTGTGGTCAATATATATGTACATATATAGATATTTCTGAATCGATATACATATGTATATGCCATCAAACTTTCATGGCATTAGCCTCAGCGCTTTGGCGAAGTCAATTATCGTGATCCGTTTATTAGTTGTTTCGTTATATAGGCATAAAAAAGTAATAGTATTTGATAACTCATTGATATCTAAACGATAATGCTTTCATGAAACGACTATTTTTCTCTATTTAATATTCTTGCATCTCAACTTATAGCTTTTGTGAAAAGAAGAAGTAGACCCCGCTTTTCCAAGACATCTCTGACTAGCAACCATTTTAACAATTGAAGCAAGAAATCGACAGCTATAATGGTAAGTACTTAGAAAAACGTAATCTGAAGCTAGAAAATCCTATATATCATATAGTTTTAAAAGAATAGAATAGATATGTGTTTTTATTATACTTGAAAACCTCACAAACAGCAATAATTAATCGCTATTAAACATTCTTGCATCTGAACTAATATTCGTCAATTTTTATGAAAACAAGCGATAGCTAAAAAGCTATATACGGCATCGGATGCAGCTTTAAATGCAAATCTGCCGAATGGATTGTATTAGCTAATACAAGAAAGTGAAGAAAATTGAGATTAGATTCCAAGACATCTCTGTGAATTACCCAACAAATTAATTGAAGCTGAGCATCAAAAGTTCTAATAACAAATGTTTATTTGCGGATATTTCTGAAATTAATAGAGCTGAAAAATATTTATAAGCACTCAATATTGAACTGTGAAATGGTGGCATGAGCAGCACTTTCTATATCTATCAGATTTATTTATGGCTCTGCCAACCACCTAACGCCACGTTAAGTTCGCCAACTGACACCCAACGCCACAAATGTAAGCCAAGTCACATTTACCTTGGCGCAAACAACATTTCCAGCTGAAAGTAAAGTCTAAATGAATTATTGGATCCATTAGCAAAATCCATTTACACAAATTTAACGCACGCTGCTCGCTGCTCGCAGTTCTCAGCTCGGTAAGTCGAGAACCGAGCCAAAGTAGAAACTTTACACACTTCGTTGAACTTTTTGGCTGTGGCTAAGTCGAAGTCTGACGAGGCAGCTGGTCGGGGAGAGGTCGGCGGTCGGGGCCGAATAAAAACTTAACAATTAAAAAATAAGCACACCAAAGAAAACATTTTTAGATTTACGCATAATGCGTAAAGGGTTGCGCCTCAAGTTCGAAGGAGATGGCAATGGAAAGGTTGGGGTTGGGGTTGTGGTTGGGGATGGGGTTGAGAGTCTTCCCCGAAATTTGCATAGAAAAATAGTCAAATGTGAGCGAAGGCCGCGTTGGTGGTCTGTGCATTTAGCCTGCAGCGCTTAAGACTAGACGGGGAACAGAAAACAGAATTTGGAGGATGGAAATGGAATGGTGGTTGATGGGCAAAGGCAAAGGGAAAGGCAAGTTGTGCTTTCTGTTAACCAAAATATTATTTTAACTTTTGCAGCATTAAGTGAAACAAGTTGGAAGTTCTTAAGCCTGCTAGTCTGTGCGCAGGCAAAGGCGAGCGGGAAGCTATTGAGTGTTGTTGTAGGTAGTATTTATGCTCTAGGATTTTCAACTCATAGATTTGAGGAAGCCGGACCCAATGCTATATAAACTTTACACTGCGTCTGACTACGTTGTTCACTCTAAGTGCTCTATAAGCCAATGAAATAGTTTGCACAAAAATTATTTGTTAAACATGTAGATATTCCCTATAAAAAGAAATTGAGAACATTTTAGTTTAGTTTTAACACATGTGTTATTTAGTAGAAGCTGCAAATATAATTAATTTATAAGTTATTTATAATATGTATTGCCGTTTTGTAACTAATTTTTCTACAGAAAACCTTAATATTTTATGCTCTAATAACAATTTAAAAGTACATTGAATATAGTTTATTTTTCAGTCCTTCTAAAGATACTCAAAACAGTTTAGTTTACAAAGGTTGAAGCCCTGTTGTCCTCCTTTTGGAGTTTGAATTTCTTAGTTTTCACATAAAAGGAAACTTGTGTAAAATTTTCTGCCTTCTCATCTCTCAGCAGTCGAATTATTTGTGTCCTATATATGACATAATATGCGATCTTATACGTTTTGGTTATAATTGCAATCTGGCCCTATTATTTTAGATGCTAACTACTTAATTATAAATGAAAGAAGTCCAAGAGCAGATAAATTGCTTTTAAGGTATTTCCAATTGAAACAAATACAAGAAGAGTGTATGAGCTGAAATCTTATTCCTTCTTTAAGTCTCACTCTATATGAGAAGACTTTAAACAACGATGTAATAATACTTTTGATTCATCATTTTAAAAGAGCAGAGAAAGTGCTTCTCAGACGTTTCCAATTGAAACAAATACAAGAAGAGTTATTTACACACATTATTCACACATTTTTCACTCTATTTGAAAAGACTTTGGAATTAAACAACGATGTAATAATACTTTTGATTCCTCATTTAAATAAAGTTTAACTTCGGGGCAACATATTATTATTGATTTATTCATTTACAATGACTCTACCTATAAGTTTCGAAAGTGTTAGACCATAGTTCGTTCCCTCTAACTGCCTTGTTCTTTTAAATAATTTAGAAAGTACTACACTTTCTATACACAATGGAACTGCTTTTATTTACCTTTAGACGACATCTAACAATTCCCTCAATTCATGTAAAGCACACATTTCTGCACTCCACATCATTTTATTTAACATTGCTAATATTTTCATGTTCGCCCGCCGGCTAACAAACACACAATTAAATATAATTTTTTACGCCCAATAAATTTGTTAAAAAATGCATGCGTGCATTGCTGTTGTTGTTTTTATTGTTATTATGATTGTTGTTGTTGTTGTTGTTGGGTGTGCGTTATGAAGAGCTGAGTATTTTTTTCACACGCCAGAGCCCGAGCAGCATCTAGACTGGCCTGAGAAGCGGAGAGGAGGGCCACATAGACCGGGCGTGTGCTCGCAGCCAAAAAGGCCAAACAATGACCATCACTTTGTCTTTTGTTAACCCACACACACACGCACACACACACACACGCAAGTATGCCCTGCCGTGTGAGGTGCGTCCCTTTTATATGGTGGTCTGCCATTATTTTGCTTAATTATTTACATGAGTAAACAGTCGAGTGAGTTCAGCGACAATGAGCGCGCTTCGGGTTGCGTGTAAATCAGCGCGCCTGAGGTTTATTCTTTTTCGCAATTTTCCCTTCTTTTTTTTTTTTTGCTGTTTGTGAATTTATATTTATACATATCGTATATGGACATATGAGCACACTCATGTAAATAACCGCAAGCGCGGCAAAATGGTTAAAAGCACATTTAATGGGTCGCTGCTTTCGAATCGAGGATGTGTCGCAGCAGATCGGTGAGGAGGTCGGTTTGAGTGTGTTCTGGCCAAATGAAAGGCTCCCATAAGTGGGTGGCAGACAAAGTGTTAAAATGTGTGAATACACATATCTGTACTACGAGATTCACGCCAAGCCTAACGATAATATGTTCAATTATTTGACTATAGTTATCAAATATGATTATGCCAGCGTGAAAAGGCGAAGCTGCTTCCAATATTATGTGTTTTATATGAATGTAAGAAACCTTTTGAAGTGATAAAAACTGCTAAGATCGAAAGATAAACAATACAGCTGCTAACAAGATTTCAAATACTTATCAATGCTGTGCCGAAAAAGCTTGAACATAAATCATTTGCACACAAAAATCCAAAGTTCGTCATGAATATAATGTTTCTTCTATTAAAACCAATTCTATACTAAAATGTAGTTTTCTGATATGAAACACTTTTCTGTGAATCTGTTTTCAACTCAGATATATACAAATAAAGTATATATCAGAATTTAATTTTCAATGCTGACATTGCTTTGTTTTACTGTCAGTGCACCGTCTATTGTTGTAATATCAAAAATATAGCTAACTTTCTTGATATGGATGAATATTTTGGACATTTAAAGAAATTGTAACCACAAATGTTATGTTCAAAAAAATCAACATTATAAAGTTCTAATTTCTAACGAGGATGCATTTTTGTATAAAACTGGAATGAAGAAGAACAGATCCAAGCAGGAATGTCATTTGGATCAGCTACCATTACGACAATACAAAGGTCTTGTAATTGTAGCAATTAAAAGAGCTAGAATATAAAAGTCTTTAAATTCACTTAAATCTTATTTTACTTAGAAATCAGTTCAATTTAAATTAAAAAATTTAAAATAAAATAAAAAATTTTTTGCAGAAATAAAGAATATTATTAATATTACCGATGCTGTCAAATTATCGGCGATATTCTTGATATTACTGAATGTTTTTCTTTAAATGTACGGTTTGCAAAACTACAAAAAAGCTTTGCCAAATTTTCTGTTTGTTTTTAATATTGCTTTTAAGTTTGATATCTTTTTTACAAATCTGTGCTCCAGTCTATTTCAATGAACTTTTTTAAGTCCGAAAAGTGTACACAGTGTACCTAAATCCTAATGAATTCTTCGGCTTATGATAATCTCTTCATTTCACTCCAGCTATAGCTACATTAATTTTTCATTTCCAAGTTATTTTTGTCACTATTTCATCTCAGTGGCATTTGGATTGTTTTAATTCCAATTCAAATATCGCCTTGGAACACAATTTTATAATTTTTCTCTACCAGCCATCTCTGGTGTTTATAGGTCTTCCATCGACAGTTGTTAGAAATGCTTTCAAACTCAGGCTTGGCTTGTTTTTGGGGTCTGCTGCTGCTACACGCCCCTTGTGGAGGAGCTCCTTCGCTCTCAGCATATGATGCTCGCTAATGTCTTTCACAGCGAATCAAATCAAAACACCACAACGACTTCCAATCAGACTCAATTTGTTCCAACAACAGCAACGGCAACAATAATTACAACAATAACAACAACAACAACAACCGGCAATACCAGAGCACACTGAGCCGGCCAGCAACAACAACTGTTGAGTTGCCATCAACGCCAACGTCAAAGATGCGCGCAGCAGCATCGTCTTCGACTTTGGTTTTCTTCTTGTCCCTCAACTTCTGCTGCTTCTTACTCATCCGCTTTCGCATTCGCGTCTCGTCTTCGACTTCAACACTGTTGTGGTCGTCATTTTCATCTTCCTCTTCTTCTTCTGTCTTGCTCTCTTCGCCGCCGCCTCACCGCAATAATAATTTCAGAATTACAAATTCACAAAACGTACGCGAAATTATGCGCAATGTCTGCAGTCAGTTGTTGTTACTGTTGTTGTTGTTGTTGTTGTCTTCCTTCAGCCAAAAGGCAAAGCAACGAAAATGAGAAGAAGAAGAAGAAGCAGAACACAAC